GCCCCGTTAGCTGCAATAGCCCCGGTACAGCCCCGTTAGCCCGGTACAGCCCCGTTAGCTCGGTACAGCCCCGGTCCAGCCCCGGTAGCCCGGTCCAGCCCCGGTACAGCCCGGTGCCGCCCGCAGGACGCCGTGCTGCTGGTGCAGGAGGCCAAGGCCGGCTGCCGTGGCCGCTGGTACCTGCCCGCGGGCCGCGTGGAGCCCGGCGAGCCGCTGGCGGCCGCGCTGCGCCGGGAGGTGCGGGAGGAGTCGGGGCTGCTCTGCGAGCCCCTGACGCTGCTGGCGCTGGAGGAGCGCGGCCCCGCCTGGATCCGCTTCGCCTTCCTGGCACGGGCCACGGGTGGGTGCCGGGCTCGGGGGGTCGGGGGCTCGGGGGGAGCGCGGAGAGCGGTCCTGGATGGCCGCGGGGTGGGAGATGGCATCTCCAGGGTGGGTGTCATTGTCCTCAGCTGGCCCTGGGGTGGGTGTCCCTGTCCCCAGCTGGCCCTGGGGTGGCAGGTGGCACCCCCATGATGGGTGTCCTTGTCCCCAGCTGGCCTTGGGGTGGGTGTCCCTGTCCCCTGACAGCCCCGGGGTGGGAAATGGCATCTCCGGGGTGGGTGTCCCTGTCCCCTGCCAGCCCCAGGGTGGGTGTCCCTGTCCCCTTCCAGTCCCGGGATGGGAAATGGCATCTCCGGGGTGGGTGTCCCTGTCCCCTGCCAGTCCCGGGGTGGGTGTCTCTGTCCCCAACTTGCCACGGGATGGGAAATGACATCTCTGGGGTGGGTGTCCCTGTGTCCCCTGCCAGCCCCGGGGTGGGTGTCTCTGTCCCCAACTTGCCACGGGATGGGAAATGACATCTCTGGGGTGGGTGTCCCTGTGTCCCCTGCCACTCCCAGGATGGGTGTCCCTGTCCCCTGCCAGTCCTGGGATGGGTGTCCCTGTCCCCTGCCAGCCCCAGGGTGGGTGTTCCTGTCCCCAGCTGGCCCCGGGGTGGGTGTCCCTGTCCCCTGCCACTCCCAGGATGGGTGTCCCTGTCCCCTGCCAGTCCTGGGATGGGTGTTCCTGTCCCCAGCTGGCCCTGGGGTGGGTGTCCCTGTCCCCTGCCAGCCCCAGGATGGATATCTGTGTCCCCTGCCACTCCCAGGATGGATGTCCCTGTCCTCAGACAGCACCAGGGTGGGTGTCCCTGTCCCCTGCCAGCCCTGGGATGGGTATCCGTGTCCCCACCCCACCGTGCCCAGCCCAGTGTCCCCTGCCACCTTTGTGCCAGCTCTCTGGTGTCCCCCGCAAACCCCGTGATGGATTTTAGCACCTTGGTGCCAGGCCATCGCTGTCCCCTGCCACCACCCCCAGTCCCCAGCAGTGTCCCCTGTCAGGCCACCTTGGGGTTCTCAGTTTCTCAGTGTCCCCTCCAGGCCACCTCGAGGGTCTCAGTGTCCCCTGTCAGGCCACCTCGGGGGTCTCAGTGTCTCAGTGTCCCCTCCAGGCCACCTCGGGGGTCTCAGTGTCTCAGTGTCCCCTCCAGGCCACCTTGGGGCTCTCAGTGTCCCCTCTCAGGCCGCCTCAGGGCTCTCAGTGTCCCCTCTCAGGCCACCTCAGGGGTCTCAGTGCCCCACAGTGTCTCCTCTCAGGCCATTTTGGGGGTCTCAGTGTCTCAGTGTCCCCTCTCAGGCCACCTCAGGAGTCCCAATGCCCCACAGGTGTCCCCTCTCAGGCCATTTTGGGGGTCTCAGTGTCTCAGTGTCCCCTCCAGGCCACCTCGGGGGTCTCAGTGTCCCCTCTCAGGCCATTTTGGGGTTCTCAGTGTCTCCTCTCAGGCCATTTTGGGGCTCTCAGTGTCCCCTCTCAGGCCACCTCGGGAGTCCCAATGCCCCACCAGTGTCCCCTCTCAGGCCATTTTGGGGCTCTCAGTGTCCCCTCTCAGGCCACTTCAGGCATCTTGCTGTCCCCTCTCAGGCCACCTCGGGGATCTCAGTGTCCACTCCAGTGACCCCTCTCAGGCCATTTTGGGGGTCTCAGTGTCCCATCTCAGGCCATTTTGGGGGTCTCAGTGTCCCCTCTCAGGCCACCTCAGGGCTCTCAGTGTCCCCTCTCAGGCCACCTCAGGGGTCCCAATGCCCCACCAGTGTCCCCTCTCAGGCCATTTTGGGGCTCTCAGTGTCTCAGTGTCCCCTCCAGGCCACCTCAGGGCTCTCAGTGTCTCCTCTCAGGCCATTTTGGGGCTCTCAGTGTCCCCTCTCAGGCCACCTCGGGTATCCCAATGCCCCGCCCGTGTCCCCCCCATTCCCTTCCCGCTGTGCCCCCCGCTCCGTGCCCGCTCCGTGCCCTCAGGTGGGACCCTGAAGACCCTGGCGGAGGCGGACGCCGAGTCCCTTCAAGCCGCCTGGTGTCGCGGGGACCCTCGCTCGCTGCCGCTGCGCTCCGCCGACATCCTGCCGCTGCTGGAGCTGGCCGCCCGCTACCGCCGCAGCCCCCCGCACCCCGCCACGCTGCCGCGGGACCTGCCCTGCTCCGCGCTCTGCCTGCGCCTCCTGCTGCCCTTCACCAACGCCGCCGGCGACCTCTGGCTCCTGCTGGCCACCGGCGGCACCCCGCACCTGCCCGTGGTGGCCTGCGGCACGTCCCCGTCCGAGCGGCGTGCGGGGCTGCGCCCGCCGCTGCTGCGGCTGCTGCGGGACCGCCTGGCCTGGGAGCCGCAGCCCGCGGCTCTGGGGCTGCTGGGGCTGCAGCACCGGCCCGGTGGCTCCGGGGATACCGACGGTATCTGCTTCAACGTGCTGCTGAGCGTGGAGCCGGGAGCCGGGCGGGAGCGGCCGCCCGAGCCCCGCCACCCCGCGCTGCGCTGGTGGCCCGTGCGGGACGAAGCGCTGCGGGAGCGCGTCCTGCGGAGGCTGCGGGGCGCCGTGCCCGTCCGGAGTTAGCGCACGGGAGGGTGGGGTTGGGAATTGGGGAGACCCGGGGGTGCTGCGGGGCTGGGGGTGTTTGGAGCAGAAATAAAATCAGTCCTGCGGAGGCTGCGGGGCGCCGTGCCCGTCCGGAGTTAGTGCACGGGAGGGTGGGGTTGGGAATTGGGGGGACCCCGGGGTGCTGCGGGGCTGGGGGTGCGGGG